TCTTTTCCCAAAAAAAAAAAAAAAAAAAGCAAATGAAATCCCCTTTATATACAGATCCTTAAAACTTTGTCGTTCAATCCTGGCCGCAAAAAAAAAAATCCCATTAATAACTACCAAAAATCTTAACATATATATTAACCATAATCAAATAAGTTTACTTTGTAAACCTTCTATTTACTTTTAAGAAGCTTAAACTTTAATCCTTTCAAATAGTGTCCCACAAGTTGATTCCCCATCATTCTTTCTTTCTCTTCTCCCAGAAACAGCTCCAGTAATTTCTCTTTGTCTCTTCCCAAAAACAACTTCACCAGTTCAACACATTCCTTTTGCAAATCCAAGATAAAAAGTCTTTCCAAGTCATTCTTCTTTTCTATTGTTTGTATATCCCCTTTGATCATTGTGACATCAGTTGGTTTCATTTGTAAATCTCTTCTGGCATCCTTTTCCATATCACTCTTATCCTTTGGCATTTTAAAATCCATTTTCAAATCCACAGCATCTTTGTTCATACCATCTTCATAATCCAGCATTTTTTAAAACTCCAAATCCACATTCAAGTCAGTCTCCACCTCCATTTCAAAATTAACCATCTTATCCAATCTTTCTTCTATCTTTTTTTCAAGGGACTTGAATTTAGCTCCTAATTCATTAAACAGTGATTGGAGTAAACTTAAAGTCTTAGAAGATAAACTTTTATCTTCTAAGGCTGCTCCAAACGGCCTCTTCTAGCCATTTCCCCCCCACCCGCCAAAGCAAGCAATCATAGATATTGTATAAGTGAAAGTAAGCAGACAGTTCATGCCCTTTGGTGCCTTTCATGATACAATCGCAGTCATGTGCCAGTAAAAAATACACAGAAGGCTCAAATTACTATCTTCTTCAGTTTTGAAAATCCAGCCAATCACCAAGCATATCACAGAAAAGCAAAACAATTTCCCATAGAAAAATCAAATCCAATTAATACAGATGGAGTTTCGTAAAATTAAATTTTTAACAAATAAATCTTCCCCTTTCACCCTAAGTAACTTTTAAATCTTTTTTTGTATTCTCCTAATCTTCCAGCTTTTTGTGAATTGTTCAAATTACAATAAAACTCTAATTCTTCTTTTATAGTCCCAGAAATAATGAAAAAACACCAAGAGGATGACTTATTCATTGCAAAGGAAGGTCTCTCTCAGGTTGAAAAATAGTTATATTCCAAAGTGATTTAGAAATGGGTTTGGCTGGCTATAGTGTCCATATTTAGGCTGCACACAGCTGTGAATGAAGATGGATCCCCCACCTCCCAGCCACTTGCTTGCAAGCTGTTTGCAGCAGCTTCTGTTTCTGCGATAAGCTTATGAGGAATGGCCATCCCAGAGACCAAATGGATTGATTTCTTGCTTCCTTCATAATCTGGAGCAAGTTGGGTGGCCAGCGCTTGCTGTCAGCCACCGATCCAGCTGCAGTGCCGCCTCCCCTCTCACAAGGAGACGGCCAAGCCACCATTGTCCCCACTGGAAGTCCTTTTCTTGGCAAGATTTCAGAAGTAGTTTGCCATTGCCTCCTTCCTAGGGCTGAGTGCCTGACCCAAGGTCATCCAGCTGACTTTGTGCCTAAGGAGGGATTTGCGGTCTCCTGATTTCTAGCCTGGTGCTTTTAACAAGTGCACCAAACTGGGTCTCAAAATCAGTTTAACAGCATGTGTTTATGATGACAATTTGTTATCCCTTTGAAATTTAATTTTAACCCAGAGGATGGGAGATGACTTTATTTTTCTTTAAAAAACAATCCCTTTCATGAAAAATAAATGAGCTTTGTTGTAATTTATAGGGAACAATTTTTTTATCAGCTTGGATACTTTTAGTTGTGTAGAACATTTTCTCAATGAAGCATCTACATACACAAATTGTTTTCGCCGATTTCTCTCCTCCTTGTGTTAGATAGTTACTGTATGTTGTTCAATGGGATCTCAGTGAACTTTGCAGTAAAGGTTATGGGACTACAATATCGCTAACGGAGTCATTTAAAAAAAAGTTTCTACATGACACTTGCAAACAAATAAGCATACAAGCATTCATAAAAGCAGGGTGAAGGGCACAGTAATTTTGTTACTGCTCTTGTTAAACAACTGGAATTAGCAATTTTTGCCAATCTCCTTCAAATCATCCAGAGATTTACTAGTCTCTGTTCCATGACTACCTTCTACCACTAATAGATTTACCACTAATTCCACGTCTGTTCCATGTCTACCTTCTACCACTAGTAGACCTATCACTAGTTCCATGTCTACCTTCTGCCAGCTTGTCTTTGTCTCCCAAAGTGCCTTCTCTCAGCTGGAATCACAGGAAAGGCAAGAAAAGCCAGTCTCATGGAATGGATGGTAAAATACAAGGCAGTTAAAACAAATTCTTCTGCTGCAAATTGCCTCTTAACAACGGTGGGAGGTAGCAATCCTGCTACATAACGTACATGCAACACTTTGTCCCCTTTACAAGATAAAAGGCAGGGAGATTTTCTATTACTCACTTACAAAGCCCTAACAGCCAAGCTACGAGGGTTGCTGGTGCTAACAGATAAAGCATTTTCCCTATTTCCCTCATTGCCTCTGGAGACTCTCTTAATAATCCACCTGGGAGGCATCTTCATACTTACGAATTGATGCAGAGCACAACAATGTTTTTCCACAGGTTTCTTGTTCCCACCACTTTAACAATGCAGACCTTTTTTGGTCTCCTGGCAAGCTCTTTCTCTAGTTCTGAAACAAAAGAAACATTTCATTATTTAAAAGATAGGCATTTGGGAACTATGCAGATCAGTCCAGTGGAAAGAAAAGTTCTAATTAAAGCTGCCTGACCCTTTTTTCAAGGTTCCATTAAAAAGTAAATTGTGTTTAAACCACATGCACCATGGTTTCTGAAGTTTGGGAACCATGCAAAAGAAAAAGAAAATTAGTACACCTCCCCTAACCTTGATCTCATTTCTGAATTCATAATTAACTGAACCTCTTCCCTCTTTCTTTTCAAGTTATCAAAGCCATATAGAGCTTTAGGATTAGATTAAGGAGGTGTAAATTTCAGGCTTATATGCCCTACCTTCTTTTCTACTAGCATTCTGATTTCCACTAAGTGGAGCCTGGCAACACTGAGATAAATTAAAGAATTCTGAACCCAGTTATTTGGTTTGAGTACCAGAAAGAAACAGATACCACACCATCACAAAAATCTTCTCCTGATTTCTAATTTCAGCTAATATAGTTCGGGCAGTATAGTATCTATGTTATTGCCTTCTGCCCACCCTTGGAGTAAATGTTCTATCTTTTCTTCAGAGAGTTGTAACACTTTTAAAAATTAATGAGGCCACAAAAATGTTTTGAAATGGACACAGATTTGGATCTAAAGCAGGCTTATAAAGATATTCATTTACCTCAGAGCCTTTGGCAAATTAGAAATGCTCACAGTTGACCAGGCAGAGAAGGGAGAGGGTTCTTTGATGTATTTGTTATTAATCTGAAAATGAGAACTGGTAGACTACTGAAATTTTCTGAGGTTTAGCATTTCTTGTAAGTTTACATGCAAGGCTCTGTTCCTAGATAGTCACCGTGTTGAACTACCTGATATTAATGTGTCCATGTAAATGGAAGATTTGAGATGGTATTAATATTCCTTGAATAAGAAACCACTGAATATCACAATACTCTGAGACTATAATGTTGGCTGGGGGAAAAAACAGCTGTGGGACAGAATTATTTGGATCTATGTGTGGAAGTTGATAATTCCCTCCCTGGCTCCATTCATGACCATGAAAAGAAATACAAAGAGACTCAACTTGCATACCAGGAAATACAGATAAATAACCATCTGAATTAGCACAGGAACCATAAAGGGATTAACAGACAATTAAATTTCAGTGTCCGCCCAAGTCATGTTCTCAAAAAACAGTGGAAGGGGGGAAAAAAACCTTTCTGGTATTTTATATTTTGAAACAGAATTCTTCCATTTATTATTCTAGCATGCTTTTTCCTTATAACTTAATAATTTCACATCTTTTTCCATTTTATCACTGTTAGTCTAAACCTACCCAGAAATATGGTTTTCCCTTTAATTTTTTTAAAACATCAGCTTTAAGAAGACCTCTGTGTAACTTCTATACTATGTCATAACACAAGTGGAGTAAATATATTGCTTTGGTATGCCTGTAGATTTATTTCCCCATCCCCCTGAATCTTTGTAATATTTGTAAAGTTCAGCCTCTCTCAAACTTGCGAATTAGTGAAACATCTCACAAACACAGGAAATCCCATATAACGTGAAGAAAACACCAAAAGAAAAAATAAAATGTTTTACTCATCTTCTTGTAAACATTATTACTGACTTTCCTAGCACAGATAAGATAGGGTTGAACCAACACAATAATCTGACAGAAGGCCACTGCAGAACTGGTTCTTCTTGGTTTTTGAAAAAAACTATGTTTGTGGATACAGACACTTGAAAAAACTGAAATACCTGTTTGGATACATGTAGGACTTTTCAGTGTGTCCACCCTTCACAGGTGCTTTTGTGCTGGATCTATAACTTTATTTTCAGAGATGTCTGACATTGATCATTCTCTGATTAGGCACTCATCATGGGATCGCTGGCAATAACATGGATTCTGCATCCAGCATCTCACAAATGCACAAACAACATGATGACATCCTCCGAAGGACACCTGTATTCTTTCCGTATATCTTCAGCAAGCTTTTCTGAAAGTTACCTTTCTATTTATATCTCCAGAACATAAAGGATGGCCTGCCAAATCTGGTTCTTGTTTGACACATGAACAAACCAGCACTATAAAATCTAGCAGGCAAGAATTTCTATAATGCTTCTGTCACAATAAACAATAAAATATGATCAGCAAATTTACATGGATGCTAGCATCACATCATTGTAATAATAAACATTCAGGAACCACACTAAAAAAAAGAGATCCCAACAAATGTAACCAGAGATGCAGCTTGCTTAAATTAGATCCTTTTCCAAGCCTTCTCCTGCATGTTTGAGGCATATCTGAATTAGGCAATTTACTCATAGAGGCTGCACTATTGCTGCTTTAGGGCGAAATCCATTATTGTATAATTAGATATCTACACACAAAAAAGGAATCTCTCTGTTCTTCTCCCTCCTGCTTTCCCCTGCATGCACCTTCAGATCTGCTCCAGACAGTGCTCCAAACCTTTAGAGCAGTGTTTCTCAACCTTGGCCATTTTAAGATGTGTGGACTTCAACTCCCAGAATTCCCCAGCCAGCCTTACTGCTGGGGATTTTCTCCCTGAGTCTGGCCTCCATAATTCCATTCCATCACACCTGGTTTCTTATGTATGGCCAGT